AAAGAAAGGTTTATATGTATGTTTTTAAATAAATTTAATTTAAATGATTTTTTTGCATAAATTTACATATAAAATTGAGTGAGTCAACTCATTTGATTTATATGTAATTGCATTTGAAACCTTGACTGATAATTACTACTTTATTTTAAATTAATTCTAAGTTGATACAAGTCATAGTGAAATTCCGAATAAATCCAAATGGTAAGAAAATTCAATATCTATTTAATGTATTGATTTAAATTAATTGAATTAATAAATAATAAATTTTTTATTAATTTAAAGATCCTTTTTTTTTTTTTGAACCAATTTCGGTCAAATACAAACCTTGAGAGATTTTAGAAGCAATACGCATCATAATCATAGAGTCAATTATATTTTGAATTTTAATTAGCTATTGCCAAGCAAGATAGGAAGAATTCCATCTTGTTGGCACATCAGAAATTATACATAATTCGTGATCATTTTGAGAAAGATCCTAAATAATTTTTTTTTTAAAAAAATACTTTATTTAGTAGCTAAAATGTATTATAAAAAACAAGTTATAAAATATTTTAAACTAATTTTCAGTAAGGTTTGTTTATTAAATATTACTAGTTTTGCAAGCTTAATTAATCGCAATACTTTGTAGTAATTACTTGCAATATTTTCATTACAATTAAACTTTTTTTAAATTTCCAAAAGACACTGAGTTTGTTTGAGAGTAGTAAAGTATAGCATAAGTCTCTTTGCTTGCTTAACTAAATTTTTAGTTTCTAAAAGACTTTTTCTAATAACTAGCTAAAGAGTATGTGCCGTATATGGAATACGAATTATATTTTGCATTAAATCTAGTGCTTTAATCATATTACTACTATTGTCCGTAATAATTAAAAAACTTTATCACTAAGATTCCATTTATTAATAATTAAATTTAATGCTTCGGCAATAGTCTCACCAGTGTGTGGATAAGGAAGATAATTAATAGAAAGTATAGTTTCTTGTAATTTAAAATTAGTATCAACATATAAACAAGTTATACCCAAGTATTCTAATCTATTATGTCTAGTCCATAAATCACAGGTTAGTGAATATGATATAATATTTTTTTTAAATATATCTAGTAATGACTGTTTAGTATATCTATATGCTTCAGAAAGTAACTGTCGGCAATATCTTTCACTTGAAAATTGGTATGATGGATCAAATTCTACAATAAAATCTTTAAAACCCTCATTATTTCGAATATTTAATAGTTGTTGATCTTTAATTAAAAGTTCAACAAATTTTTGATCTAAATGACACTTACGTTCTGGATTATTATAAATCATTCGATCAATTTGAAGTTGTGAAGATAAAGGTTGTTTTATTTTTTTATTATGTAAACTTTCTGTAATACCATGTCGTGTTGCTAAGTGTCCAATATAATTTCCTGTTGAACTATCTACTGACCCCATAAGATGTCCATATAATTCATCTTTATTATTTTTTTGAACTTCTACTAAACAACTTACAATTGTTTTGTAAGGTGGTATAGCTTCATAATGCTGATAATAAGACCAAATCCAACTTCGTCCTGAATGTTTCATAATAGGAATCAACTTTAATTCTTTTAAATTTGGTGTCTTTGATATATTCTTGGGTTGATTTTGTAAGATTGTATAAACTGTATTATCTTGGTTATTTTCATCGAATAGATCATTATTATTATCATAAACCAGATTTTCATCATCATCATTAACCGGATTATCTTTATATTCATTAGCCAGGTCATCTTCGTTATTAACCAAGTTATCTTTATTATTACCCAGGTTATTATGTTTATCTAATACATTATTATCGCTAACTGAACTATTGTATTCAATAAGTATATCATCAATCGTATCGTCTTGTTTATCTAAAATAAAGTTTTTAGATTGAGATAGTTCTGACATATTTGTATCAGGTATTTTTTTTTGTTTTTTGTATTTTTTATTAAACGAGTGACAGTATTTTCTTCGCTAGAATTTTCATTAGACATTTTTAAAGTTTATAGATTTGTGTTTTCAAGCTATAATATAGTAATTTATATTATTTATATATATTTAATTATTACAAAATTTTGAGCCTTTTCTAATTTATTAGCAAGGAATTTAAAAAAAATCTTCTGTATGTACATACTTCGTTTTTTCTAAACACTATAATGAATTTTCTTTATTAGAATAAATTATTCAATTAACTTCTTAATAAATAATAAAACTATAACTATTAAAGATGAATGGTTTTCACAGATCATATGCAAATGTAGCTAAAGTAAAGTCTTATAATTTTTAAGAATCTACTACGTATAATTAATTGATTATTGTTAACCAGTACTTTAGATTTAAATCGCATGATTATGTAATAAATAAACCTTATATTATATATGTCTTGACTATTCACATGTATATAAAACTCACAATCTTGCCACATGTTGCAATTTGTATAAATTTAATAATTTAATGAAATACTGTATTGGTCAAATACAGCCTTTGTATAAACGTATGTATATATGTGCATACAATGATATATACAAGATATTATTTTAAAACAGGGTAAAACCTGAGTTATTTAGCAAAACCCGTATGTAGATCAGATTAGAATGGATAAATTGGTTTAGAGCTGATGATCTGTTTATATACGTATATCTTAGATTAACCGGATATCTTAATTATTGACCCATTAATGAATTGTATAATCTGGGTAACCAGGTAACCGGGTAACCTAGCGGTTAACCGGTTTTCATACCTTAGGGTACGAACACTACACAACTCTTCAACAAAAGTTCTGTTTTTCTTCGGTAGAAATTTTGGTTCAAATGATTGTTGGGAAAAGTTGCTTGAAATTTGATTGTATTTTTTTTGTAGTTTTATATTGTTTCTAAAAAGTACTTTAACTTGTATAAATAATATAAAATTAAAATAAATTTATTAGCTAGTTAGAGAAGTGATAAACACAGTAAGAAAATAGCTTTACTAAATATGAAACATCTTTGGCACAAGGAAACAAAGAAAACTAGTTAAAAGAACTTCCAAAAAGCATAGAAGCAAGTGCTCTAGTAGTATAAAAATAAAAACAGCCAATAAGTAATATGTCGCACAACCTATATAGAAGTCAATAACAAAATATGGCAAAAGCAGATCTCAAACTACTGGCTTGTAACAGTAATTAAATCAAGTACTTAACTCCTATCTTAAGGATCTAAACTTTTGTAACATCATATTGATAGAGAGTATATAAAAGAAGTAGTGGTCTAATTTGGTAGTATATAACATGAATACCTAGATCAATATAAAATAACTCTTCTAATAGTAGCAGCAGGTAGCTTGAAATACAAGTCTTATAATGATAGTAGCACCTGGCTTGAAACATGAATTAGAATTTAAAGTAGCTCTTTTAGAAATACCAAACTAAAAGCAAGAAAAGTGTTTACTTGAAAGACACCAATTTGGAAGTAATACAAGAAATAAGTGATAAGAGTAGAAGTTGGTTAGTGGATATTGTATAGTAGTATATAAGTGGGATATAGTATATGATACAATAGGTTTGGAAACTATCTGATGATTTAAAAACTGGTCTAATTGCAGGACAATTTATAAGGAGATAAAATCTCATATAGCAAATCACACATAGATACTTAAATTAGTAACTGAGTAAGCTAATACTGGTAATTAATATTAGATAGTTGTAACTGTACTCGTAATATTTGTAATCAAAAATACTTTAGTGTAAATTTAATAAATAGTATTAGCAAGACTACTAAATTAAAAAAAAATAAAATAAAATACAGTATATATTATTGTAACTGTACTATCAATCAGTTATTTCTTTATAATTAGCAAGCTAATATTTCATAGATAATAAATGCTACTATAATTTACATATTTCAAATATACTAACTTAAAAGATCTAGTATCTAATATATATAAAATATCTAATAAAAACTTATAAAATACTCAGATATACTGTATAGATATATATTACAAAAGAAAAACATTAGAAGTTAGTATTTTATTAGTATACTAAAAGTTATTTTAATTGGTTACAAAATTTGTATAATATAAACCTACAATTTTATAAATATATATATCTCTAAATATATATTATTGTCTTGTCTCAAAGAGTAGGTTTGACTATAATATCTATATGTATTTTAAAATAGTGTGCACCTTAAAGAGCAAGTATTAGGCAAATATCAGAATACAAAACTTTAATATATATTTGATTTACCACTAAATATAGTATATTATCTAACAAACTCATATGA